CCTCCTATGGGGACTCTCAGGAACTCGTTTGCTGCTGCTGTTACTAAGCCTTTAGGATGTTGCTAAGCCTTTAGGATGCTTCCTAAGGAGCTTCTTTGTCAACATGTGAGGAAGAATTCCTAGGTGACAAGAAACTCAAAAGAGGGAAAAGCAAAGCTGCTGAAAGGAAGACAATGGCTTGGTGCCCTGGATCCAGACATATCTTTGGACTTCTAGTTATGTAAGCCAATAAATTACCCACTTTGAAATTTTGCTTCAATTCATGAGTTTCAGTCACTTGTTATTGAAAGATTCCTGACTAGTACACCAAATAAGCAGCCTGCTTTTATATAGGCTATGGCCATAATAAGGCATATGTTGTGCTGTGTTCGGGAACTCTGACCGATTCCTTCTTTCTGGAGTGTGAGCCGAGAGGTGGGCAGACAAGAGAAAAGAGGCTGGAAAGGCAGGGAGAAGCCAGAGCAGAGAACCTCCCTCGTCCTATGAAGTTGGTGTCTTCCGGGGGCAAAAACATCAAAGTTTTGTAGACAGAAAGAAAGCAAATGTGTTTAAATGTCAACTTTTTAATGTATTAAACTCTAATAATAGCATTTTCAAGCTGGGTTGGAGGCTTTTTATTAACTTTTATTGTTTCTTATCTTTTCTAGATTAAGAGCTACTTACCACTTACCTGAAATTTTAGGCTCTAACAATCTAGTTTCTACTTTACAATGCAGACTAAACTTAACCTCAACAAAGCCAGCTCCATATGCCTGTCATGCACTTCAAAACCACAAGGACCAAAGAATCAGTCAGGAGATGGTTAAAGAAGACAGTGATGAAGGAGAAGGAATACAAGTTTGATTCAATCAGTAAATATTTATTAAACATATATTTTGTATCAGGCACTGTGCTGGACAGTACAGACAGGAAATTGGCTGAAAAATATCCCTGCCTCCGAGGTGGTTAATGTCAAAGTAAAAGACAGGCAGCTAGTTTCCACCTCAGTACAGAAAGTGCTACCAAAGAAGCTCATCAGAAGGACTTCTAACTCAGCCTGGGAGAGTCAAGGAGGGTGTTGCAGAGAAGACAATGCCTGTTCAAAGTCCTAAGGAATAAGCAGGGTTAACCTGGTTAAGTCAGCCAACTGAGAACTTGGAGAAGGGGGATTCAGGCAACATAGCATAAGCATAACATGAGCAAAAGCACGGAAGCATGGAATGACATGGGTGTTTAGAGAACTCTAAGTAGTTCATTTTTTGGCTGGCATGTAAGCCAAGAGGTGGAAAGACAAGAAAGAAGAGACTGGAAAGGTGGGCAGGGTCCTTATCAGGGAGACTCCCCTGTATCAGGCAGAGAGGCTGGTGCTCACTAAGTGGAGGTCTGGATGGTCATTTCAACTAGGGATTTTAATTAAGGAAGAAACATGATTAGATAGGAACTTTCGGTAAATTGTATTCTGGTGGCTCTTTTGAGAACAGAATAGTCCATTTAGGAAGTTATGTCAAAAGGGTGAACAAAAGAGGTTTAAAAGGCTTGGAATAGACACAGATCAATGGAATAGAATTGAGTATACAGACATAACTTATGGCTGATTTATGGTCAAACTGATTTTTAACAAGGATGCCAAGACAATTCAACAGGGGAAAGAATAGTCTTTTCAGCAAATGGTGCTGGGAAAGTTGGAGATCTATGTACAAAAGAATTAAGTTGGACCCCTATCTCAGACCATCCATAAAAATTATTCCAAAATATGAGAGTTAAAACTATAAAACTCTTAGAAGAAAACATAGGAATAAAGCTTCATTATCTCAGAATAAGCAGTAGTTTCTTAGATACGACACCAAAAGCATAACCAACAAAAGAGAACACAGGAAAATTGGGCTTCATCAAAATTAAAAACTTTCATACTTGAAAAGGTACCATCAAGAAATTTAAAAGACAAACCACAAAATGGGAGAACACAAACACATATGCAAATCATATATCTGATAAGGAGCTAGTATCCAGAATACATAAAAAATCAAGAATTTAATGAGTAAAATCAAAATTTCTTCAAAGGAGATGAAAGAAATGATCAATAAGCACATAAAAAGATGCTCAGATTAGACAGCGGTGATGGTTGCACAACTCTGTGAATATACTAAAACCATTGAATTGTGCACTTTAAAAGGGTGATTTTTATCATATATGAATTATATCTCAATTAAGCTGTTGCCATTATTACTGCTGCTGCTGCTGCTGCTGCTACTACTGCTACTACTACTACTACTACTGCTACTGCTACTACTACTACTACTATCCCTTGGGAGAAGGGATAGGGAGATTTCCAGTGGGACCTCGTTGAGAAACTTCAGCAGGTGAAGTCAGCAGGACTTTTGATGGACTGTTCGAAGAAAGTGGGGAGAAGATAAAGGTGACACCTAGATTTCTGGAAGAGAGAAAGTAGAGGAATAGAAGGGAGAATGAGATGGAGATACCAGAGGAACATGGCTTTCACGCCATAATGAGAAGAAATGGAAGTTCCTGATGAAAGAGAAGAGGCAACAGTTTCACTTTGTTCAACAGACACCGATTTAACAACTGTTATGAATTGGGTCCTGGGAGATGCAGTTCTCTCCTGTGAGCTCAGCTGGGAGGAGTGGGCCTTTCTGGAAGACTCAAGAGACTAAGGCCCAAGAATCTGCATACAATCCCTGAAAATCTTTAGGATGTGGACTCTGTGTATTCCTATCTTCATATCATGTAGATGGTGAAACATCTTTTATAGAAATGTTAGGTTACCTGCCAAATACTGTGTCCAAAAGGAGACTGGAACTCCGATCTCCTCGTTAAATTATACTATTTACTATAATAGTTCAATAAACAAACCATACAACTTTGAACTAAGTCAAGTGTGCTATCTGATCCTTTAGACATTTGCCAGAACACATCCCAATACATGCAGTCATATGTGTTTGCCCCAATATAGACCTTCTGTTGGACTGTATTTCAGAGCCCATTGATTATGAAGCCAACGAGTGTTCTTAGTCATTTTCTGTGATGTCTTAACAGAATGATTTCCAGGAGGTTTCAGCTGTCAGGTGGCCTCTCTCATGCCTACCCGAGAATAGATGAATGCTACCAACCCACATGGCCCCACTGATGAGAGGGTATCAGAAACAACCCTTTCCTTGAAGACACCATGAATGGAAAAAAGGGAAGAAATGACACTTCCAAGTCATTTTGCCAGAAAATTCAAGGATGATGGGACAAGGAAGTACTCTAGGTTTGGCCAAGTCTGCAGACTGATGACTTGAGGAAGTCTTTCCCCATTTGGAACCCGACAACATAATCCTCAAAACACTGCCTTTCAGGTGTGCACATCAGGATTTCAGTCCTGAATGCCAGAAAATACAAAAAGGTAAAGAGTAACATTAAACAAGTCTTTATCTTTTATTTACCTCCACCCGATAAGCCCTGCCTTTGATTGTTTTGTCTGCATATTTCCTGCTAAGAGTTTACAAAACAGCACTCCTGAACAGGAAGATAAGAGGCGCACCTATTTGTTGAATAACATCAAGGGGGAAAACTGCTAACTCATCCATTTTGTTGTTAAGTTGCTCAAAAGGATCAAAATACCAATTAACTTGCTGGCGCGGAAATCTTTGATACCCTCAGATTTACTGACATTTTGAAACTCTTGTTCATACTTGCCTAATGGCTTTCTGATTACGCACAAAGAAGTGCCAATCTGTTTAGCATTTGACCTGTTTTCTTAAATATTTTTATGTATTCAATACTTAGTGGCTAAAAATACTTGACTGGTCACATTCATGAGCTAAAATAATCTTTTTTTTGTTTGCTTCACCTCCAAATTTAAGAGGAAAAAAGAGGCTCAAAGATACTTTGTTTGAAAAAGCCATTTTGTTCTTATTTTTAATTTAAGAGCTCTCATTGCAAGGAACTTTTTTTGCCCCTGCTTCTTCATGGAATTTAGTGTCATTTGGAAGACCCATGAAGCAACCATATTAGGATCCATTTTTCCCTGAGAAAAAAATTAGAAAAAATGACCTTGGGTGTATGCTTCAGAATGGTGGTAAAAAGCAGCTTAACATGGCTGATGGGGTAAAGCAGATTTTAGCCTGAATTTTAGGTTTCCTCTCGGATAGCCTCAGACAGGAGTGCCTCTCAGAGATGGTTTGTTGTTGTTGTTGTTGTTGTTGTTGTTGTTGTTGTTGTTGCTGCTCTTTATTTTGTCACAGAAAGTTTCATGAAAATTCCATTTATAACCATATGCACAAGCTTTGCATTTGCAAGGCATACCTATGGCTGTTGTTCAGAAAAGAGCAGCATTTCACTCTTAGGTAAAGGCAGTTTCTGGGTCTTAAAAGCTCTATAGCAATTTATTTCAGTAAACATTTACTGAATGCCGTAGACTGAGGAGATTCAAGTGTGGCTGCTGAAGTCAGACTTCCTGGGTTAAAATTTTGGCTCTACCATTTACTACCATGGGAACTTGGTCAAATCACTTAATTTCCTTCTGTGCTTCAATTTCCTCATCTGTAAAATGGGGATAATAATAAAGCCCAGCTTACAAGGACCAGAGGAGATTATATATTTGGGATATTTTAGGTGCTCTGTAGATGTTAGCTATATTATATCGTGCCAGACCCTGGGAGAGGAGTGGGTGCCTGGGTGCATTTACATTTGCCAGAATCTTGATGCATTTATGGAAGGATACTTTCATCATAGCAATCAAAAAGCTGCAGATTTTGAAACCTAAGGATATATACACTTAAATATCTATGGACATTTTAATTTTTCAAATGTGATCAGAAGGGAGCTCCACCCACTCCCCAGATCACTGTACTGTAGTTGGAGCACAATAAAAACACAACATTTAAGCAAGTAAATGGTAGTTGGTAATGAGTCAATTATGAGTTTGGAGGCAAACGGGCAGGAGGAGCAATCTCAGGGGACAGAATGGCCTTGGCAGAGCTACATTTAATATAATGTACTTCCCAAGATACCAGCCTGACCTTTTCACAAACTCTTCAAAGAGAATGCGGTGGGAATACCCCTGCTGGCGGATGCTGACCGTCTCCAGGATCCCTGTGGAGCGGAGCTGGGCTAGCACTCTGTCTCGGGAGAACTTCAGGGCCTCTCGGTCATCATTGGGTTTGATGCAGCGTACAAAGTGGGGCTGCCCGACCACCATTTTGGAGAGCAGATCCATCAGAGAATACTACGAGGGGAGAAAACACACAACGAGGTTACCACAAATGTAATGGATAATTATGAAAACAGGCCTGCTGGGCCTCCAGCACAGTTTGCTGGCTTGTAAACAAATCATGGAACTTTTTGAGGCCCAACAAGAACCTAGCAAAAGGAAATAATAAGTTCTGAGAAGTACTTACAGCTGCCTGTGGACCCAAAAGCATTCTTTAAACTTCAGCCTAGGGCCAACAATATTCCCATTTGGCAGAAACTCAGCTAAGAAGTTGCTTAGGTTATCTCATAACTCCATCACCAGCACTAGCTTGTCTCTTATATTCCAAAGTGATGCTCCAAACTGTATCCATAATTTAAAATGTCCAGCTTTTAGGGAAGGGGTCAGTCGCTCTTCAACCTAAGAACACCAGAAAGTCTAAGCAAATCTTACCGATATCACTGGCAACAAGGCAGAGGAAAAAAGAAAAATAGAGGGCAAAGAAAACTGGAGGGAAAAAAGGAGATTATAATGAAGATGAACTAACATACAGAGGGCAGTTGGCATGAGGCCCTTGCAGAGAGAACACACAGAAGAGCTGAGGGGTGGTTTCTGGCTGCTCCTCGTGGGCATCCCCTGTGGGAGGCTTCTCTTTTGGACATGCCTTCAGGGTCAATTACAAGGAACACACAAAATCAGTCCATTGTTCAGTAATCCTACCCCCTGCTGATTCAAAATGGTGTTACCTAACTTGGCAATGTCCCTTTTTTCTCAGATTTAGCATCTGGGGACCAGTATTTTGAGGACACCCAACTGGTTGTCATGGATATATTTCAGAAAATCGTAAGCTACAGGCTTTTTCTACTGAAAAAAGGACTCTCAGATCTTGAAGATGACCTCACAGAGTCAATCAGAGCCTTCAAATCCCGTGACACACACACACACACACACACACACACACACACACACACACAGACACTAGGAGGATATAGCCAAGCCCCTAATGGGACAGGACCAGAGTAGGTCTCAAGATGAGAAATAAGTGGTGATAGAGATGTCCAACTATGAGGGTGATGATGCATGGGCTGAAAACCCAGCTGCTGCAGAAGCTGGGATGGCTGCGTGGATGGACTGCTGGACCCAAAGGCCTCGGGGCCTCTGCAATCCACATCCTTGAGGCCAGTTCTAGTCTGCCTCTAAAGCACAGTTGCTTAGGCCAGACTTCTTGGCTTTAGATCTTTCTTAAACCTGCCAGCTTTTGGTGGAGCCTTCTGTCCATGGTGCTGGGTCTCAGGTCCTGCCCTTCAGCCTGCCTGGTAACTCCAGCTCATGACCCACTTGACTGATCATCCATGCCAAGCCCCTTTCATGGCAGTCCCACCTTATAAACTTATTTTGTTCTCCCTGAGTTCAGTTGTTCCATCTTAGGCCTAACAGCATCTCCATCATGAAGCAGCCTGGACCTCAGTTTCCAGGGATAAATGATCTCTAAGGGGCTCCCAACCCCAGTGTTTCATAATTCGAAGATAAACAAATCTGTACAAATTAGTACAAGTAACTGTGTCTTAACTTTCCTTTCTAATGTGCATTTGACAGAGCCTTTCCAGAGATAATGTTTTTACTTGAAGGAGTCATTTACTGGACGAAATATCAGGAATTGGGGTAGCAGAGATGGGAAATAATTGGGCTCAGGCAAACAGTCTTGCAATGGGTCAAATGGATCTAGGGAAATGAAGTCAAAGCTAAGACATATTCTTTCATGAACTTGATAAGCCACCTTCTGGAATTTTATTAACTACTTTACTTCTCAGTAAATATGCTGAAAAGTGGCTGACTCCAGTACATTTAAGGCCAAGAAGCAGCTCAAATGCTAACAGAATCAGCACATTCAATGGACAGAACTATGCCCCAGTGGCAGAGAGCCCTCTGCAGACACTGGCGATTTTATCTGGTCTTTCTGAGATCAAGATCACTGTATTCAGAGGTGGGTTCCCTGCTATAGTTTTTCTCTCCCACACCCCCACCTTTCTTAACCAGCTCCTGGGCTTTGCTCTTGTTTCAGGGGCTCTATGGTATCTGGGTCTCTTGTGGAAAAGGTTGGCAAGTCCTTTCTGAAAATAGGCAGAATAGAGATTGAGAAGATTCCATACCCGGAAGTAGGAAGCCACGGTCTGCCCCTTCATGTTGGTGGTTTCCTCTGGATGTCGTATCACCTCCAAAGTGTCTACCTGAAGCACAGACAGAGGGAAGGGATTTGAGGATACAGACAATTCATTTTCTGACATCTCCCGCAATCTGAAAAGTTATTTGGCCAAATATCTGAGGAGCCTTGATGCTCAGGACACAACAGTACACAGCATGGGGGGAAGTTTTAAAGACATCTAAGAGAAAAATAGAATTTGCACTGCTCTACTCACTTGAAAATGACCACACTCTGGGAAGAACCATATGGTCTCAGTACAAGCCCCCATTAGTGTTATGTGTATATTTATCCATGTTCTAACAGGTCCCTGTTAAGTTCTCCAGTAATGTCACGTGAGATCAAACTACTTCTTAAAAGAAAACAGGGAACAACCCACGAGGCTGGGTAATTACAAAGACACAGGCCCAAAGCCTAGGCTGAACTGCAGGGAATTAGGTGAGCTCCTTGGCTTTCCTGCCATCAGACCCTCCTCTTCCCACAGTTCCAACATGCTCACTGCATAGCAGAGCCTGGGATCCACCTGTGCCCAATCATCTACCCCAAAGACCTGGGCTGGCTGGAAGGAATTTATGAATGAAAATAATTGTAGCAAACAACTGCAAGCACCCTGAATTCTGTCATTTTACGTCAATAATGAAATCCCCTCTCCTGCACACACAGACCTATTTGGTTTGCTGGGTGCGTGTGTGGCGTTTCAGCACCAGCCTCCGCCGTGGCAGCTTCCCATCTGCTCTGAACAGGTGGCAAGGGTAGGAAGCAGGGACATCTGAACGGGAAGATGCTGCTGTCAGCACGTGTGTTCTGCTCAGTGAACTGCTGTCCAGGCAGCCACCTCCCCATGGGGTGAGGATGTACGCAGCCTTGTGCAACAAAAGTGTAAAGTGGGTGCTAGAAGGGATGGGGGCTTGGGGAGGTGAGTGAGTCATGAGGCTTACCCTGAGAGGTATTTAGAAGACTGCAAAATGGAAGAAAACGCTTCAACTGGCGTGGATAAAGAAAACAGGCTTGCTTAAGAAGGGGAATAAATGTAGAGCCAAGTTTTCAAAAACTAGAAAAGCAACCTAAATAGCAAGCAAGAATCTGAGGATATCTCTGAGTGAAGTGATGTCAGGGGAGCAGCGCAGCGTTCTGTCTCTAGGCTGCAGATTGGATGCATTCCCAAAGCCATCATTTCATTTGAATGCAGCTGAAGCAAGAGTACAATTGCCTGTAGGATTGACTTTGGATTTTTTTTTAATGAGGAAGAAGGAAATAAAAGCTCTGTGTTGTACAGAAAAGAGAAAAACACAACACACCTGCCCACCCCCTGCAGAGGTCCTATGCTGCACAGAAAGTTTCTTCCCCCATCAGAGCCCCACTTGGAGGACAGAGTTCAGAGCTGGTGAGGTTCAGGGAAAGTTAATTAGGACTGAAAGAAAGATCTTGGCTAGGGTCTGCCTTCGACCAAATTAAAATTCTGAGTTTTTAAAAACATTTTTTCTCCTATTTTCTCCCCCTCCCCTCCACCTGATCTACACACACAAACACACACACACACACACACACACACACACACCTTTTGAGAATTTTCCCACTACTTTTTATTCAGAGATCCTCCCTGAAGAACTACATCTGCTTTGAACCCTGCATTTCCTCCTTCATTTGCCTCCCTTTTTATTCAAATCAGCCAGCAAGTGCCAGCCTCTCAGGCTGTAATGAATGCCCTGTAAAAGGGCAGCTGAAATGCTCATCTGTATTTCTCTTATTAGTAGAATTTACCTGTTACCCATCCTCAGAATGACAGTGGACACTTGGCATTTGAGAATTTAACAGTTTAGTGATCAGAAAAATCCTTGATGTGTATTAATTCTGCCAAGACATAATTTTAAAAGTACATGTATTGTTTTCAAGATCAGTACCCATTCCCTGCAGCAAATTGGGAAAAATAAAGAATAAAGCATCGATTTGCAATCCAAAAGCTACAAGGCTGGTGGGCTCCTTGGTCTAGCTACCTTACAGGACTTTAAATCCTGTCCTTGTGTTCACATACAGAGTAATTCTTGGGAAGTAAGTAAAAACCTGTTCTCTGTTATATACAACTCAGAAATGTTAATGCATGTCTATAGTTCATCATCTAATTATTTGATACTATATTTTAAAGAATAAACAATATGGTATTGGGATATCTTCTAATTTAGGAATTTGGAAAGGTCTTGGGTTGGTCAAGGGTCACTAGGTTCTCCTGCACATGAGGCAGATCTAAAAGAGGGAATTTTGGACAAAGGATATAACAGAAGACACCTTCTCTTGGTGCCTCCCTTCAAATTTGGAGACCTCTGTCTACACTGGGCCTGTCATGAATGCTGAAGAACTCCAAAAAATCAAAATCAAAAGAGACGAGAAGGTTGTTGTCTAACCTAAGAGCTGTCTTTCTGAGCTAATTTAGTTAGTGGTAGCCTCATTTAATTTGAAAAAAAAAATCTCTTAGAAATAATCCAGAAAGTAGATTCTATTAAGGTCATCATCCAGCAAATAGTTCTTTCCAAAGGTGGGGATTTCACAATAAAAAGACCAGTCCTCTCCATAATACCCTATAAGTTTTTAGCCCAGATAGGAAGAAAAGAGATAGGCAGAAAAGCCTCCTGGGCTCAAGGGATAAGGACTGCAGAACACAGAGTGTGGAACTGTAAACACTGGGTTCAAATTCTGACTCCGCCGCTTACTAGCTCTGTGGACTTGGACTTGTTATTTAACTTCTCAAAGTCTCTGTTTTCCTCATTAGTAAAAGTCGTTAGCAAAAATCACTGCCTTGCACACAGGCAAGAAAGCGGTCACTCAGTTCCCCTTCCATCATTACCGTTCTTGGTATCATTACGGTTTAGTAATCAATATTAAGGATGCAGGGTTTTGTTCCATGGAAGAAGGTACATCTTAGGTCCTATCCAACACAGCAAGGAAATCTTTTTTATTTATTGGGAGAGAAAATACTTCCAATGAAACCAATTTCAAAATGATCAGTAGAACCCATATTCTGGATAAAACCACTGTCTGTCTAACCCAGTATACCTTTCTTCTACAACCCAATTTATACAACAATATAAGCCAATTGGAGCTAAGAAAGCTTGCTTTTTGCCCACATGCCAAATGTCCTGCCTGATTCCTTGTAAGAGGTGCTGGTTGGCCTTCCAAGTAGTCATGAGTAAGCTTTACAAATTGTAGTACAGACCCCAAGCCCACAGAAAATGAGCAAGTTTCCATATACACATGGACTCCACACACGGAATTTCAGATGGCTATCAAAACATGAGAAGTAACACATTTATTGCTTCCAATGTGAAATCACTATACTAAACACTTTGCCTACATTATGTCACTGAATTCTCAAAATGACCCTATAAGGTAAGCACTAGTATCACTCCTATTCTAAATATAAGGAAGTTGAGGCTCAGAGATTTTAGGTAAATTTCCTAAAGTCTTGCACTAGTAACTGGCCATGCCTAGATCAGAACCCAGTTCTGTCTGACTCCAAAACCTACTTCTTAAACATTAGATACTGCCTTTCTACGTGGCTTGTTGTGACTTATAAAATCAGTCTGAAAGCATGGCATTATTAAAAAGATTTGTCTCATCTGTCAACTAAATTTACTCTAGGATAAAGACACAGACTCCAATGTCTCATAAACCATCTAGATTTCAGCAATAAACAAAAAATTGAAAGTTTTTTTTTCTGCTCTTGGTAAGTACCCACTATTTACATTCTAGAGCCTCAGAAGTGTTTATATTCATCTTCTTCACAAGACTTTTGTAAAGAATTTTTATTACTAGCAAGTGATCCGTCCGTCTCTTAAGGAAAAAGTCCCTACAGCATTCCTCCCCTCCAAGCCTCCACAGCCCTGAACGGGGAAGCAAGGCTGGCGCTGACGCCAGCCAGTGTAGGGGTGCTGCCTGACGTGGAGGGGATTTCCTGCAAGGCCACTTCTGCTGTTTTACCTTGGATAAGGCAGAGAGCAACTGACAGAGGTTTTTTATTGCTGTTGTTGCCTTAACTAGAACTTTCAACTCATCTTCCTTCCCAGCGAAAATAAATCTCTAGTCATTTTCATCTCACCTCTATATGTATTTATTATAATGATGTAAATATACATGACCCACTCGAGGGCACACTTCTTACGCAGGCAGTGAAGGGAGGGAGATAACAATGTGCTGATACTGAGTGTGGAAGGCAGGGGAACAGGTCCTGGCACAGTCCAGTAGTCAGAAACATCAAGCCAAGGAAAGGAAGGGAATATGGTCTGACAGAGAATATTATACAGGAGTCTTTCATCTTTTTGCATCATGATCCCTTTTAGAATCTGGTGGAAGCCAGTGACTCCATAAACCATATATACAATTGATCCTCATTATTTGTGGATTCTATGTTTGTGAACTTGCCTTCTTGCTGAAATGTATTTGTAACCTCCAAAATCAATCAATACTCAGTGCTCTCAGGGTCATTTGCAGACATGCAGAGCGGTGAAAACTTGGAGACATCTGATGTGTATGTTTCCAGCTGAGGTTGAAAAAGGTGACCCTCTGCCTTCCAGTTTCAGCTCTCATGCTGTAAACAAGTGTCCTTTTCGGTCTATTTAAGTGCCATGATTTTTGCATTTTTGTGCTTTTGGTCGGTGATTTTACTATTTAAAATAGCCCCTAACCTTAGTGCTGAAGTGCTGTCTAGTGTTCCTAGGTGCCAGAAGGCTGTGGTGTGCCTCTTGGAAGACATATATGTGTTAGATAAGCTTCGTCCAGGAATGAGTTATAGTGCTGTTGGCCTTGAGTTTAATGACACAAACACTGTACTTGAAATACTGTGGTATGTAGAGAAATACTGCATATAATTAATTATTTGTAAGAAGTTTCTACAGTTGACCCTTGAGCAACACAGGTTCGAATGCATGGATCCACTTATGTGCAGATGTTTCTCAATGGTAAATAGTACTACTACATGCTCCATGGTTGGCTGAATCCACACGCGCAGAACTGTGGCTACAGAGAGTCCACTGTAGAGTTACATGTGGATTTTCGACTGTACAGAGAATGGGTTCCCCTATCCCCCGTGTTGGTTAACTGTAATAAATAAGGTGTCTCCAAGTAGAAACACACATAAAACAAGATTATGTATTAATCAGTTGACAAAAGTGTTGTGACCAGAGACTTGCAGGAACTAACCCCTAGAAACAATGCTTCAGTATTTGCTTATTGAGTGTTCACAACGACTTTATAGAATGTAACTTTCTTGAATAATGCAAATCAACTGCACTTAACACAAACAAAATTTTACATGTAATATCAAGAGGCTCTCAGAACCACTGAAACTCCTATGTAAATCTCTTCTAGGGGTCCATATAACTCATGTTAAATAGTCCTAATGTCTTGCCACAGACTCACAAGGTTGAAATGTAGAGTATTCCACTGGATTGTAATAACAATGTGGGTGTAAAAATCATTGTTAACAAAGATGTTCTGAATCCCTATGATGTGTAGGTCCCTCATTCTCAGAGGGAATAAGTAGAGACATGTATATCTTTATCCATTTGGGGTTAATATTCAACAGTATTACATGTGGCTGCACTGCTTATTTTTTACTAAACAAATTATTTAATATTCAATGTAGACAAAAAGCTAAGGACACTCAGAGATGTGACCTGTTTATTACTCCATCACCTTCAAGATCACTGTTTCTCGGTGTCAGTATAGACAATGAACATTAAGCAGCCAGTCCTTGAGATTCTTGGTAAACACAAGCAGGAAGGATGCAACAGTTAAAAACATTTTACAGTGGGGTATCTACTAACACTGCCACCACCCCCTTTGCACGGACAAGTGCACCACTCATTTTTCAGAGAGCAATGTGGAACAATAGGAAAGGGTTTGGTTTCTTTCCTCCCGCTGACTCCATTTGTTACCTCTCCTGTAGGTTGGTGATAGCTTCAAGGAAAAGTGCTTTATCTCTTCCAAGATGGACTTTATTTTCAAGTGTCATTGTTCTGTATCTTAAGTGATCTTTCTGAGAGTCAGGTCTGAGAAGAGGCCCAGAATATGCCATAGAGCATAAGGATTATTTTGAACTAAAGACATGTAAGAATCAACAGTTGCCAAGAAGCAGCTTTTTCTGAACTCCCCTTAACTGCCTAAAAGCAGAGCCTCCCAAAGGAATGAAACTGTCCTAAATCCTCTCCCGGGGAGTTTCGCGACCAGGGAAGACTGACTCCTATCACCAGAGATAAAAAGTCAGCACTGGGATAAGAAATTGCCTAAACAGACATTGTCATAAAACTACTGTATCTTCTATTTATTCTCCTAAAGGACCATTTATCTTCCCCAAAAGTCATTTGTTGTCTCAGAAATGTCCCTCTGCCTCTCTTCATTTCCTATTAAGCCTCAAAATCTAAATCTAACTGCCCCTTTGAGTCACTTTTTTGGGTGAATTCCTTTATGTATATAATTAAAATACATTTTTTTCTCCTGCTTATCTGTCAGTTTGAGTTTAATTCACTGTTCCCCAAACACAGAACTTAAAAATAGAGGAAAAAGTTTTTACCTCTGACACAGGATTACAAAGGATTCCATGACATTGTTTCAGATTTCCTAACCCTTGATTCCTAAATGCCTTCAATCTCTTTTCCAGATTGCCCAGGTAGTGGGTCAGATAAAGGAAACTAATGTTGCCCACCTAGGATAATCCCTAGGCCAGGAGCATCCTGTGGTTCACAGCATTTTGGGCAAAAACCTATTACTCACCTTTGGTCTCCCGGCACTGACACTGAAATGCGGAGGCAAAGATCTTGAGGCTGCTGTTATTCTGGCTCTTGTCTGGGCCAAGTTACCTGAGCAAAAAAACACGAAGAAGTTAAGGCAAAGGAAAAGTTAAAGAATAGCATCATGAGTAATTTTTCCCTTTGTGTTCTTGTATTTTTCAG